AGTTTGCAAACACTCTTTCCTCTACTCTCTAGTTTCTGATTCTGTTCTATTCAGTTTTGCTTATACTTTCTTCGAAGCTTCCTCGTTATTCACCTTGGTATTCTCAGTATCCTTCTGTAGAACTACAAAGTAATCATAATACCTCATCTCAGGGATATAGAGAACTACTTTTCCGTTGAGGCATAACTTATCTTAATCTGTGGGAAAATTGTCCAGCATTTGAAACTCTATAGACGGGTTGCTACTGTTATTATTGTAATTGTTGTTTTCTTCTTCTTCTTCTTCTTCTTCTTCTTCTTCTTCTTCTTCTTCTTCTTCTTCTTCTCCTCTCACGCCTCGTCTCTCTTCTTCTTGTTGTTCACGCCTCTTCTTCTTCTTCTTCTTCTTCCACATCTCGTCTTCCTTCTTGTCGCAAACCTCGTCTACCTTCTTCTTCTTCTTGTCCACGCCTCTTCTTCTTCTTCTTCTTGTATCACGCCTCGTCTTCCTCCTCCTTCTTCTTCTTGTCCACGCCTCTTCTTCTTCTACTACTACTACTACTACTACTACTACTTCTTCTTCTTCTTCTCTCACGTCACGTCTTCCTTCTTGTTTCACGCCTCGTCTTCCTTCTTGTCCACGCCTCTTCTTCTTCTTCTTCTTCTTGTATCACGCCTCGTCTTCCTCCTCCTTCTTCTTCTTGTCCACGCCTCTTCTTCTTCTTCTACTACTACTACTTCTTCTTCTTCTTCTTCTTCTTCTTCTTCTTCTATGTGCCGGCCGTAGGTGATCATGGCTCTCCAAACTTGCCTGTTTTTTCTCCTAAACCTTGTTTTGTCATTCATTTACACAAGCCCACTAAGTAGGTTATATGTTGTTTTCCTCTCTCCCTCTTGCCTTCAACCTTTCTCTCTTTCTAAACCTTCTTTCGTCATCCTGTACCCTAGAGATTTTAGCTCTCTCTTCCAGATATTAAGTATCAGTTTTCTTTTTCTTGACATTTTCTCTAAAATTTCGTCGTTGCTCACATGTCCGGTCCATGGTAACTTCAACAGAACTATGCTGAAAATACCATGTCGTCAACTAAAAAGGTACCTACATAAATCCGTATCGTTATGTCATATTTACTTCTATTATGTTTTTCTTTTCATTTGTCTGTTATTTACTGTTTGAATAAACCTTTTTATACTAAAACATAGAGTCTAAGCATGTAAATAAGGATTCATCTGGTGCTTGGAAACGAATTAATCTCTTTTATATTAATTTTAATGCGAAAAAATGTTTCGGTTCACGAACAATTCGGTTTTAGAATAGACTTTCAGAACAAATTATGGTCGAGAACCGAGTTTCCTCTATTTGCTTTATTGCGACGTTTTCAATTCGAAGCTCGCATCTTGGTGTATTGCTGTTGCTAAAAAAAAAAAATAAATAAATATTTTGTCTTCTTGCAAATAATTGTTAGTATTTTCTTATTTGCCTGCCTAAGACCACACAGGTTCCCGTACGATCACCAAAGTTAAGCAATGTCGAGTCTGGTTAATGTCTAGCTGGGTTACCACTCGGAAAACCAGGGCCTGTAAGCTTCAAAAACTACCGTGACTACAAAGTGAGGGATCAGTTTATATATGGATTGTAAGACAAAATTGATCCCCCACTTTATATGCGCCTTATACTATCTTGTTTGTTTATCAAATTTCAATTATGGGTGAATTAGTAAGATGACGCAAAAATACTATAACACATTTCGAGTTTTCATAATTTTCTAATTGAGTGTCGAATGAGTTTGGTATCAATTGAAATTGTATTTGGTCTTCTTTTATTATCGAGTTATATTGTCCTGTCGTCTTAATATAACTTGATGAAAGCAATGTTGAGCCTGGCTAGAACCTTGATGGGTGACCGCTTAGGAATACCAGGTGCTGTAAGCATAGATTTTCAGGTGATGCCATGGATATTGGCTCAGAATTGTTAATCAAAGAGCACTGTCTCTATTCCCGTTGAATTGGTTATATTCCCTTCCGCGCAAATACCCTTGCGAAACGTATGAATTCACCTCTACTCCCCCATCTATGGGTTAATTGGTAAGATATGTATCGCGAAAACATTATTACTTTAAAAGAAATTACAGACTAAAAATATTTTCTGGCTTTAAACAACCTGCAAATGGTTGACAAGCCTTAAAAAATGAATCACTCTACGAAATAGTGATTAGCTATAAAAGCATGTGGTTTATAGTCACTTACATTGTCTGGTATATAAATATATAAAAACTACCGTGACTACAAAGTGAGGGATCAGTTTATATATTGATTGTAAGACAAAATTGATCCCCCACTTTATATGCGCATTATAATATCTTGTTTGTTTATCAAATTTCAATTATGGGTAAATTAGTAAGACTTGTAACACTAAAACATTATTATCTCTAAAAAAAAAAAAGAAAAATTCTTAGAATCTAAAAGTATTTTCTCCTTTTAAATAACCGTCAAGTGTTGATAAGCCGTAAAAAATATTTCATTCAAATTCTTATTTTCATTTAATAATATTGTTCTGGTCTTGACCATCGTGTTTTGTTTTTTCAATCTGCAATATTGGTGTTTACTGCTCTAGAAGTCGTATTAATATAAACCTGTCATAGAGATTGAAACTAGATTCGTTTTATACACCAGGGAAACGACCATTTGCCGAAGCGTACTTTTACAGTTTCAACAGGTTCTATGTTCCAAAATATAAAAAAGTAAGCTCAACGAACACAATATTTTTCTACAAAGCTGCCATTTTGTTGAACCGGCCCTCGCGCGGGTTCTTCCTTGAACATTTCAATGTTGTCCTCTCAAGGTGAGAGTCAATCGCCAGTTTTCCTCGTTGGTTTCATAATATTAAATTCTATTCCATTCGTATCTCACACGCTTTCGTCAGTTGATATCGGATGGTGTAGCTTCGAAAGAGAAATCTGAATGTTGAGTCAAGTTCCAATAGGATTAGTTACAAATACCCTTGAGAATAATATTACTCCAAGTAATGTATTAAATAATAGGACTTGTATATGGAAAATCACTGTTATTCTAAAACAAGAAGTAATTAATACAATAGTTGCTCTAAAAAGCAAGAATTACTTTTTCATTCCAAATGACATTCCAGCTTTTAAATAACCGATAAGCGGTTAACACGCCTAAAAAACATATCACTCAGTCAATTAAACCTTTCATTATTACAATTTCGACTCTATTACTCTAACTTGGGTGGGTTTTAAGGCTTTTAGTTTAAAAAAAAAACACTATTTAGATCAATGATTCCTAACGTGGGGCGCATGCGCCATCGGTGAGGTAATATGTTGGTGGGTCATGCATCACCCTTCAATTTACTATACCAATGTTAGCTAAAATTTCATTTTGCATTATTATTTCATAATTAAAATGATTAAAGTTTATTATAGAATAAGCTTTCATTCAAATATTTTATATTTCTACCTTTCAGTTCTCTATTCGATGTTTTGAAACTCTTTATATATTTAACTGTCATTTTGTTGTTTTTTTTAAATTTTTCTCTTTCATGGACGCTATGGTCTTTGGAGGTTTGTTTAGAGATCAAGTTAATGGCGTTTTAAGCTTCCTTCACGTGAATTTCTGTAAAATTTTAGATATGTAAGAATTAAATATCATCAGGAAGCACCAGAATTTTAGAAATACCAAAGATGGGCATAGCCCAAAATCGACTGGGAACCATTGATTTAGAGCTAATGTTCAAACAATCAAACAGAACATAACTCGATGTAACCTAGTAATGGAACATGGCCACAAATATGAGTCACCAGCGTGGATCAAATACACTAGTACTGACCTAAGAGACAGGCTCGTTAAACATTACACAATGATGGGATGCGGGAGGAATTATTTATTAAACTTTGCCTAGATTTGTCAAAAGGTGAAAACTCACAACGATGATCGAACTCTAAATAATAAAAAAACAGCCGGAATAGCTCGTTGACCATTACCCAGTTCTGAGGCGCCCGCTGAGCAATTATCGAATTCTCAAACTCAACTATTCCGTTAAAACTAAAAAGCAGATTGGTTAAGAAGTCACAACTGAGTCAGCCAGGTTTTCCATGGCCCAATAAAATTAAGGAATCGAGGTCACGTGACATGCCACTTAAATATTCGGATTTTGTTCCTAATATAAATATATAAAGATCTACGCTTTGTCCTCATGATAAAGAGATTCTCCAATAAAAAAAATAAAAAAAATAGATGGTTCCGGAAGAATTCAAGTTGGAAGCAAAAGATAACTTCCATTCCAAATAGGACAGAATAATGTAAAAAAAATGCTCGGAGCCTCAGAGAAATCTGAGAAGGGGCGATGTACTTCAGCCATAAAAACGTTGAGAATTTGCAGGAAGGAAGTAGTGAGCTGGACAAAATAGTGACGTATGATTTCCCTAATGGTGCGCTATCTTCCTCACTGTAATATGTTATTGATTTAACGTTTCAGCGTTTCGCCTTCACACCACATCATTCATGAAAATTGACGTATATATCTGCCTTTTTCGATCTGTGGTTTACGTTGGTTTATTTGCTGCTTATTGAAATAAAGGGTCATTCATTTCATTTCTTCTATCTATCTATCTATCTATCTATCTATCTATCTATCTATCTATGTTTATATATATCTATTTATATATTCTTTATCTCAGTCTATCTATTTATCTATCTATCTATACTTTTTATCTCAGTCTATCTATCTATCTATCTATCTATCTATCTATCTATCTATCTATCTATCTATATACGTTTTATCTCAGTCTATCTATCTATCTATCTATCTATCTATCTATGTACATATATGTCTATTTATATACTCTCTATCTCAGTTTATCTATGTTCATATAAATTTATTTATATAATCCATTTGTCTATTTCAGTCTATTTATCTCATTATATTCATATCTATCTATCTATCTATCTATCTATCTATCTATCTATTTCAGTCTATATATCTCATTATATTCCTATCTATCTATCTATCTATCTATCTATCTATCTATCTATCTATTTCAGTCTATATATCTCATTATATTCCTATCTATCTATCTATCTATCTATCTATCTATCTATCTATTTATCTATCTATCTATCTATCTATGTTCACATATATCTATTTATATACTCTATCTCAGTCTATCTATCTATCTATCTATCTATCTATCTATCTATCTATATATGTGTGTGTGTCTGTGTCTGTGTGTGTGTCTGTATGTGTGTATGCGGATAGATATAACAATAACAACATCATTTTTATATAGTCTTCTTCATTATTTTATTTCAGTGGTGGATTTTGATTTCTTGTAAGATAAACTATAGGGACTCACCTCTGGCAAATAGTCAAACATCAAACAAAATAGGACACTATAACTGTATAAAAATACACTTTTATAGTAAAAGTACCAGTAATACCTATTTTATAGGAAAATGAACAACAATATATTTTATCTGTATTTGAAGCCATAAAATTGCATGCAAAATATTTAGATTAAGTCATTATGTAAGTTATTATCCATAGAATGCTGCTAAACAGTACAGACTAACAAATCTTCCTACATGAAGAAGAGCCTTGAAGCAACAATAGTCCACTTTAAACTGAGGAATGCTGATAATACAACAATAAAAACATAAACAACTAGGAACTTTTAAGGAGAATAGGAATTATAAGGAAACGTACAATTACAATCAGATCGAGACAAATTAAATTTATGTGTCACCTAATTAGAACTTAGGGCTCAAGTAAGGTGATAAAGCCACTAAGATGCAAGGGGTTGACGAGTGCGAAAGATACACAGAGGGCAATAAAACAGAATTCAAGTTGCCAGAAAATGACGACTGACATTGAATTTCTATTTTTTAAAGGACGGAATTAAACAAGACAAGATCGGTAAGAGAATTCCCAAACAAAAACTGCGGAAGAAGAAACTATAATCATAGAATTTCCGGTTCAGCAGGAAAATCATTTCATCTTTTGCTTATCATGAACTTCGCCTAAATACATGACATCGAAAGGAAAGCAATATTTATTTTGTATAATACAAAACGTGGCACAAGGCCAAACGCGAAAAGAAGGGAGGGTGGTCTTTAATCTGTCTTATCTAGATAGCCACGATTACTGACCCAAACATATCACGATATTTCTTACACGAAAACAATACATTGTTACTTACCGTTCTTAATACAGCCACCATAATACCTCAAAGTCTTTATGTAGTCCTAACTAGTCACCATACATACAATTTCTCCGTGGGGGGGGATTAAAAACAACATTTAAGAATGAAACCCCAATGAATATTTACAATACGTCGAAAGGAAAGCTCATCGGAATAATTCCCATGAAAATTTTTATAGCAGAGGCAAATGGAAGTTAGGTTAGAGATGTAGGAATGAGCCTGAAATCGTGATGCCAAGTCAGGGCGGATGTAACAAATTACAGGAAGCTGTGAAGAGCCATAATAACCGACAACCTGAAAAGAATTTAGTATATAAACGACAAAAAAAACGTCAAGTGAGCACATTGAAATTATGGCCAATGCTGTTACGACAATCTTTGTTAGCATAAAATGAAAACGGCTCACTCATTTTGTTATGTCTGAACCAAATGCGCTAATTCACACTGCATCTCGTACGCTGAAACTTCTTTGTTGTATGAAAGCGAATTGATTTTTCCAAAGGCCAGTCCATTTTCGGGCGACTCCGACAGACTCTCGCTTATATGGCAGCCCGGCGCACTTCTCTTCGAGGGGTGTCCATATTGACTAATCGCTCAACATCATACGCCCTTTTATTTGCATGTTTTCATAATTTTCTTTGTATTTTATTGATTATTGGTAGTTTATTAATTTGATTTCTTTTTTTTCTTTTTTCCAGGGAAGTAAATAAATAAAAAAATGATTATTTTGTTCCCATGTTTTTTCGGCTATGAAGCTTTCGAGTAGGGAGAGATTATAAAACGTGGCGGGGGTGAAGTTTGGGTTCCTTACGCTTGGCCCGGTGCCAGATATCCGAAGGGAGGAACAGACCAGTACAAAGGAAATTAAAATAAGAAGAGGGGGGCATAACAGAGAGAGTGTGGAAGAGAGTGAGGGGGAATGCTTTCGTCAGAGGAGGAGGGAAATGAAAAGAAAATGGTGGCGTAAAGAATGAGTGATGGGAAGAGGTGGTTATTAACGTAAGACAAATGCCAGAAAGCGTAGAATGATTATTTCATGAAAAGAGAAAGAGTCATTGAGAGAGATACTAAGAAGAAAGAGGAGGTAAAGAACGACAAAGGGCGGAGAAAATAAACGAATGATATTCAGAGGAAGAGAGGGGGACATAAGAAAAAAAGAAGAAGTAAGCGTATAATGAGAAGGGTATTGATAGAATAATTGGCAGCGAGAAGGAAGATAGGGAAAAGAGTGAGAGAAAGGAAGGAATGAAGTAGATGACGAAAGAGAAAGGCAGAAAGAGACAAAGGAAGATAAAGAAGATAAAGAGAGAGAGAGAGAAAGTTAAAAAAAACAGAGAGAAAGAGAGGGAGGGTGGGAGAAGAAGATAATGAAAGTGAAAATATACGGAAGAATTAGAAACTGAGAAATAAAGAGTAGAAAGGAATAAAGCAAAAGGGAAAGAAAGGAAACAGATAGACAGATAGATAGATAGATAGATAGATAGATAGATAGATAGATAGATGAATAGGTGAGGTGAACAGATAGATAAATATATAGATAGATAGATATGAATATGTTGAGATAGACCGGATACGAAATAGATGGAGATAGATAGATAGATAGATAGATAGATAGATAGATAGATAGATAGATAGATAGATAGATAGGTGGTGAGGTGAACAGATAGATAGATAGATAGATAGATAATGATAGATAAGGTGAACAGACAGATAGATAGATAGATAGATAGAGATAGATAGATAGATAGATGAATAGATGAGGTGAACAGATAGATAGATAGATAGATAGATAGATAGATAGATAGATAGATAGATAGATATGAATATGTTGAGATAGACGGATACGAACAGATGGAGATAGATAGATAGATAGATAGATAGATAGATAGATAGATAGATAGATAGATAGATGAGGTGAACAGATAGATAGATAGATAGATAGATAGATAGATAGATAGATAGATAGATAGATAGATAGATAGATAGGTGAGGTGAACAGATAGATAGATAGATAGATATGAATATGTTGAGATAGACGGATCCGAACAGATGGAAATAGATAGATAGATAGATAGATAGATAGATAGATAGATAGATAGATAGATAGATAGATAGATAGATTTGAACAGACTGACATAGATACATAGATAAATAGGCAGATATGAACTGACTGGGTTAGACAAATAGATAGATATATATGAGAAGACTGAATAGACAGATATGAACAGACTGATATAGATAAATAGATAGATATGAACAGACATAGATACTTATATATATATATATATCTATATCTATATATATCTATATATATATATATATATATATATATATATCTTCACCAGAGATATAAGATGAGATGAAATAATCAGTAAACAACAGAAGACTGTCTCCAGTTGAAAGATGCGCGCACACACACCCACACACACATATACACGCATACACACATGCACATATACACACATACACATATATGCACATACACAAAAATACACATATACACATACACATATACACAAACATACAAACATATAGATAGATCAATAGGTATACTCATAGTTAATGCACATTTATGTTTAGAATTTTACAATATTATCGAATATTATTTAATGCCTATATTTCATTAACCAAGACGTACACACGAAAACAGACACACACATAACCACATGTACACACACACACGAATATATATATATATATATATATATATATATATAAAATTTATATACCGTTGTACTATATATATATATATATATATATATATATATATATATATATATATATATATGGTACAACGGTATATAAATTTTTATATATCAGTAACTTCTTCCAGATTGTTATACATATTACATATATATATATATATATATATATATATGTGTGTGTGTGTGTGTCTGTGTGTGCTTGTGTTTCTGTGTATGTGTGTGTGTATGTTTTGTGTAGAAAGATCCACAGTTTTGGGGAAATGCGGGCATGATAATGGTAAACATCAGACTTAAACAGATTCAAAATATACAGTTAGACAAACGGACAGACAGAGATAGATAGATAGATAGATAGAGAGAGAGAGAGAGAGAGAGAGAGAGAGAGAGAGAGAGATGAACAGACTGGGATAGATAGATAGATAGATAGATAGATAGATAGATAGATAGATAGATAATGACAAATTTCCTTATATATATATATATATATATATATATATATATATATATATATATATATATATATATATGTACCTGAGTGTGCCCTTACGGAAAATATATGAACGTTCTGAAATTAAAAAAATGAAAAGCCGAACGATATTTTTTACTTCAGTTTATAAATCCATGTTGCAAAGTAAAATCCATGAATATTATCTGATAACATAGAGGACGAAACGCGTTGCTAAAGAAAACGTTATATATATATATATAAAGTTGCATTTAGATTCATCTATATTTATAGAGATAGAGATTGATCGATGAGATAGATATATATGAATAGATTGAGATATATAGTTAGATTGATTAATAAATGCAATTATGCATTTATATTCTCTCTCTCTCTCTCTCTCTCTCTCTATATATATATATATATATATATATATATATATATAGTGAGAGATAGATAGAGAGAGAATGAGAGAGAGGGTGAAACATAGAGAGAGAGAGAGCGAGAGAAAGAGAGGGAGATTATGCGATATAAGCAGAGTTAAATTAGATTTATAAACAGATAAAAAAGCTAGCTAGATAGATAGATAGTTATGAAAAAACTGAGATAGATAGATAGATAGATAGATAGATAGAATAGTTTGACTGGCTAATAAAAGCATTTATGAAATTATATATATCTACAGACATGTGTATCTGTGTTTATTTTGAAATTCCTCCGCATTGAGATCTTGTATCAGACCTACTTGCGAAAAGAATACATTTTTCTTATTCAATTGGCCTTGAGCCCGACACCTCTAAGATTCGTAAACAAATGTGTGTGTGCGAAATATTAAAAGCCCTCGGAATGAATTAATATAAAAGACGCATGCACACGGGCTTAATCAATTAATGAGATTTTCAAGAAACATTTTGGTCATGTGCAAATATATTTCAATGGTTTTAGATGCGAAATATACATATTAATAAGATACACAGAACAAGCAGCTGTCATCAATTCCACGGCAGTAATTAATAATGAAGAAAATTAAAGGAGTTATATAGCAAAAGTGAAAGTGAAAGTGAAAGTAAAAACTAAGGGCAGATATATGGACGTAAAATAGGGCCAAAAATTGGTAAAAATAATAATTGTGACTGGAAAAGGAATAGAGAAGGATAGAGAAAACGAAATTAGGTTGAAAGATTTTAAAAATGAATGAACGAAAGAAAAAGATCACTGAAACGTCGAAGTGGAGACGTAGAAAATAAAAGCAGCCCCGCTACATACAGTTCTACCAGCAGTCATACACAAATATTGATCTGATATTACACCAACATTCGGCGCCATATTAGATTTTTTTAAGAAACCCAGCAAAAAGAAAAATCAATACACGTGCTCCCTCTTTGCCGGCACGACCCAAAATCAAGCAACATACCTACCTACCTACCTAACTACCGACCTACCTATCTATCAGAATGGTTTTCCCTTATTCGCCCTTCATTCTTTCATTTAATCTTCTATACATCCCAAATTTCTTTACATCACAATTACTTTCGTTTTCTCTTTTATCTTTGGCAGTATTTTCCTTTTTATGCATGTTATCTTTCATCCCTTTCTTTCTTTCTTTCATTTTATTTACAGTGTTCATTCTTACGTGATGGTTGGTCGTCTTCTCTTTCTTTATTTTGTGTATTGTCGTTTTCTTTCTTTCTTTCTTTCTTTCTTTCTTTCTTTCTTTCTTTCTGGAATGTTCTCTGTCTTCTCTTTTTTTCTTCATTTTGTGCATTCAATTTTCCTTTCTTTCTTTCTATATTGTATTCACTTTTAATTTTTTGTTTCTTTCTTTCTTACTTGATGGTTATTTGCCTTTTTCTTTCTTTATTTTGTGCATTCACTTGTATTTCTTTCTTTCTTCCTTCCTTCCTTCCTTCCTTTCATTCTTTCTTGGTGGTTGTCTGTCTTCTTTTTCTTTCTTCATTTTGTGTATTCGCTTTTCTTTCTTTCTTTCTTTCTTTCTTTCTTTCTTTCTTTCTTTCGTTATGATTGTCTTGTCTTTCTTTCTTTATTTTTCATTCATTTTTTCTTTCGTTCTTTCTTTTTTTACAATGTTTTCTCCTTTTCTTGATGGATGTTTGTCTTTTCTTTCATTTTGTACAAACACTTCCTTCTTTTTACTTCATAACGTTTTACATTTTCTTCATTATCGCCTTTCATTTCTTTCTTCCTTTGTTTTATACACTCACGTTTTTCTTTCTATCAGTCATTCTTTCTTTCTTTGTCTCTTTCTTTCTTTCTTTCTTTCTTTCTTATTATCAGTCTCTCTTTTATTTTATTTTCATATTTTCTTTCGGTCAATTTTTCTTGACTATCACCAATGCTGAATCATTCATTATTTCTTTTGTTACATTTTCTTCACAATCACTTTATTTATTTCATTTTAATTTTCCTTCCTCTTCTTCTTTCCCTTTCTTTTCAACCCTTACTTATTTGATACGCTTTCCCTTTTTATTTCCTTCTTTTACATTTGATTCTTCTTCCCATTCATTTATTTTCATTTTTTCTTTCATTCCTTAACACTTCTTATATTTCTATTCTTCGTTCAGAAAAAAAAAAATCTTTTCACGTTGCTGGTTCTCCCGCCTCTCTCTCTCTCTCTCTCTCTCTCCCTCTCTCTCTCTCTCTCCCTCTCTCCCCGTTATTGTCGCACGGATCTAAATTTCTTTCTTTGTCTATAATTCTCCTTCTCTCTGCTCAGTATATCGCATTATAATTTTTCTTTACTTTTCATCTATATTTCTTTTCTTCAAAGTATCCTTCATAAATATATTTCTATTTTTTTCTTACCCTACCCACATCCAGTGCAACTTTATTTTTTGTTCAACCTCAAACACTAATCTATATTCTATATATGTCGGACAAGTAGGGAACCAAAAAGATTCAAAAAGAGATAGACAGCGCAAAACACGAGTAGAGGATGAGAGAGAGAGACTGGAATATAAGCGTATAGTGATTTTCATTACGGGTGTTGGTGATATTTCTGAGTCTATTTATCTGTAGGAATGTCTTTGAGTTAAGACATGATAAAGTATATAAATATATTTCTTTCTTCGTCAATATATATTCAAGTCAGTTCGGACAGATACTTATAATACTCATGCAACCGACTCGGATATACGCTCGGATATCTTTCTGAACATATGCCCCTATATTTGAATAAAAACAGCTTTCCTTGAAGAGGGAAAAGCATGAACATCTGGGTTGCGGTAAGTTAAAAATATATCACTGTTCACCAGCACTCAAGTTCAGTCAGTTCAGAAGCACGCACAAAAAACACACAGACACACACACACAGACCCCCCACCCACATATATATATATATATATATATATATATATATATATATATATATATATATATATATATATATATATATAATAATAATAATTCTCTTAAATATATTTGGTTAAATAATATGGACAAGTTCGGGCTATCAGAATTAGGTGTTTTGTGTTATCAATAAAAATAAAATATTAAAAGTCATAGATTTCATAAAAATTCATAATTCATTTTATTAAAATTCATAAATTTCTTGAAAGTCATGAATTTCATAAAATTCATAAATTTCATAAAATTCATAAATTTCATAAAATTCATTAATTTCATAAAATTCATAATTATTTTAGTTTTATTTTATTACATTCGTTTTCAAGGTTTCCTCTGTGTATATTGACGCATCTATATTTTATATTATGTATATATATTTATGTATTATGTATATTCAATATACGATCCCCTATGGCGAAAGATACCTTATTTAATGTTGTCTGCTTCTCTTTTATTACAATAGCCACTAGGATTTGAAGTCTTCCGTTGCATTTTGATCGGTCGTATGACAGCACCTTGAGGATTTGAAGATTTTCCATCAAAAGTGATGACGCCAGAATTAAATATTCTTAAATATATATATATATATATATATATATATATATATATATATATATATATATATATATATATATATAAGAATATATATATATATTTATATATATATATTTATAAGAATATATATATATATATATTTATAAGAATATATATATATTTATAAGAATATATATATATATATTTATAAGAATATATATATATATATTTATAAGAATATATATATATATATATATATATATATATATATATATATATATATGTAAGTAAGAGACAGAAGATCCTCCTTGTCTGAGAAGAATTATACGTAATTTGGAAAAAGTCGATCATTAAAAATTAATCGACACAAAATATCTGTTGTCATAAAAGAACATTTGCTTTTTAATACGGAATACATATATACACGCATATATATATATATATATATATATATATATATATATATATATATATATATATATATATGTGTGTGTGTGTGTGTGTGTTTGTTGTATGAAATATATATATATATATATATATATATATATATAGAGAGAGAGAGAGAGAGAGATAGATAGATAGATTTAATAGCCTGGTTAATAAAATCTGAGGAACAATAAAATGATAATATTGGCAATAATATTGATGATTTTTATATATATCAGCAGCCATTTTGACTAAATTGAAGCACAAGAAGGAAGATTTTAATGTCGGGATTTTTATCATTTTGTTGGATTTTATTTGTCAATTTTCTTTTCTTTTTTTATTCTCGTCTAAATTACGCAAAAATGAAAATAACACTGACCTTCCATTTTAACAGCTATATTTACCAAATTTACACAAAAATATCTTGAAATACTAAAGTACATTTATTCAATATAATAGCCATTAGCGTCAACTTCAGCCTCCAGACGACTTCGGAATCTCCTGCAACTCTTCTAGGCTGTTTAAGTTGGTGAATGCTGCCAAAATCCTTGACTTCAGTTAATTTTTGGTGTCACAAGGAGTTTTGTTAGGTGATTAGATGTAAGTAGTGATATGGTCGCAGAAATTTTATGACAGGCATGATTGGATTCTCCTGATTGGTACAGTGTCCTGTTGCTAGGCATAGGGTTTTGCAGGGCAGCACTACTTCCTCAAGATATTGATGTAGGCCTCTGTTTTGAATCTGATGCCATGTAGGATTATGAATGCAGGCATAACAACACCATCACAAGTGATCACTTCAAACACCTTCGTAATCATTATTAGATTCACACAACTCTTTCCGAATGCTCTGCACTGTCCTCAGATTGGCACTCTGAAATGTTCATATTGGAGCTTTCGAATGCCAAGCAGGACAGCACACCGTTTCCAAATTTCGGTCGGAGTGAATAGCGTCGTGGTGCTATTTTTTCTCACAGACGGTGCCCAACTGACTCTACTACTATGGAGTCGTGAAAATCAAAAGCAAACGCGCATGCGTGAAATTAAGAATATAAAATGGTTACAATTTACCCATCGCTTTGTTTATGACTTGTTTATAGTCGTGAAAACTTGTCCAGGCACACTTTTCTGAAGAAGTAAATATAGATAATTGGTGTACATGGTGTTGAACAGTTCTACAAACGACCCTCGTCTTGTTTTAAATTGCCAACATATCATACCATTTTGTAATCTGGCCAAAACAAACATTCAGTGCCAGATCCTCACCAGTAACCATAAAATTTTGCATTCTCAAGTTTTCATTACTGAGGTTGTTTTCGGCCATTTTTCACGTGATTT